TATCCCCTCTTATTACCCAACAGAGAATGCTAATTAAAAGCACCAGATAATATCTTAACAGGTGCATATTTTATTCAGAATTATCCTGTTTGGCTCCTAGCAGCATTTGTTGATAACCAATCTCCTAAAGCAGCTTTGAGAACCACTGGGTCAAGTTATACATCTGTGAGCTTATTTTTTAAAAAGCCAAGGAGCTAAAGCTAATGATCTGTGTGAATATGTTGTGTTACTGCATTTGGTTCTCAAAAAGATAATGAGTTAGAAAGAAGAAAAGAGGATTGAGCCATGAATGACTGTACTCATGGGTGTGCAGCAGTGCTGAAGTAGCCATACCACTCTATTTCAAATTTCAAAGAAGATCATAGTGAGGTGCAGATTTGAGGGGTATGAGATTTTATGTTTATTAAAAAGGACATCGGGGTTAAAAAAACGTGTGTGAGAAAAAAACCCTTGAGTAGATATTTTTCCTCCTATTGGAAACAATAGGAAATAAAACAATTTTTAAATACTCTGGAATGTCTCCAGAGGAATATTTCCGCATCTTCCACTTCCTCACCTGGGTGGCACAGGCCAGCACAGCTCTAGAAGTAGTGAATGGCCTGCCACATTAAAACATTCCTCAGTCAAACATTTAGGGATTGATCTCTAAATCAACAGACATTAAGCCAGGATAATTAATTGGAACCTCTATGTACAGAGACAGTGTGCACATGACTACAGGCTGCTAGATATGAACAAGAAAGATTTCAATGCTCAGCTTGTAAACCTCCCAGAAACATCCAGCTGGCCACTCTTTGATGCCAAATGCTGGACTGGAGAGACTCTTGGTCTTAAATAAGACACTTTTTGTATTTGGATTCAATGGCCATTCTCTCACAAGGAGATTTACAGCAATACTTTCCGACGTAGATGTGACTACAAACGACACTGCTGCAAGAACGATTAGTTATGTGTTGTCCATCTATCTATTAAGAAAGAGACATAAAAACACATCCCCGTTCTGAGACGAGAATACTTGCAGTCCATATTTGGTTTAGCAAGATCACCTTTTTTCTTAGGCAACAGTCTCTCATGCAACATCAAAATGTGTTTCTAAAAACTAGGGATGCATTTTAAAAAAATAGGCAAAACCAAATTAAAAAAAAGCAAAGTGTGCTGCTTATATACCGCCCCATAGTGCTTCAAGCACTCTCTGGGTGGTTTACAATTTAATTATGCAGGCTACACATTGCCCCCCCCCCCCCAGCGAGCTGGGTACTAATTTTACCGATCTCGGAAGGATAGAAGGCTGAATCAAACTTGAGCCGGCTACCTGGGATTTGAACCCCAGGTCGTGAGCACAGTTTTAGCTTGCAGTACAGTGTTTTAACCACTGCGCCACGAGGCTCTTTTAATAAAATAAAAAATTTTAAAAAATAAAGAAGAAAAAATGTGGTACCTTTAAGACTAACTGCTATATTTTAATGTATGTTTTCATGGACAAGTCCACTCCCTCAAACTCTTCCTTTTGAAAAACAGGAAGCCATAAGCTCTGTGGTAAAAGGGGGAAAGAAGCTAGAACTGCTCACAAATGCAGACCTTGGTGTTTTTGTGTGAAGAGGCCGTTTGTGTTGTACCCTATGTCTCTGTTGTCATGCATCTGGTTGTCAGTTGAAAGCACTGAAATCACTTGCCTCCCATTGGTTCCTATCACACATTATCCTGTTTGGTAGAAAGAGCCTTACCTCCTGCTCTCTACTTTTCTGAGACTCCGACATGGCTGTGCTGTCTTTGATATCTGCTTCTGGCTTTGTAGCCATAGTTCTCCCCTTTGGCAATGAACTTTCAGAAGCTTTGGGAGCCTCTTTGGAAAGTTTGGGCAGTGGCTTTCCTTCGGATGAAGCCGGAGGCTTTTTTTCTTGGGGACCGGTTGGTAATTTGCTTTGTTCTGCCGAAGTCCTGAGATGTGGAAGTTGCCTCTCTTGAGGAGCAGACATTTCAGGTTGCTGGGGTGTTGTTACAGGCAGAGGAGCTCCTCGCTGCTGCTGCTGCTGACCACTTCCTCCAGGTTGGTGTCGGGGCGATCCAGTTGGCGTTTGTTTTGGAGAAGGCAGTGGCATCGGAGCAGGATCTCCTAGGCTTCCTTCTAGCAGCCTCTGAGTTTGGCAGTTCAGACACAGCCATTCATTTTTCTGAAAAACAAAAAGAAATGTTCAGTATTGTATCTAAAAATGCTACATTTCTTTCAAAGACCAGCATGAAGATGCCTTTCCTATGGAAAGCAACATGCCTGTTCTCTCATGTTAGAGATATTACTAGTTTCATTTTGCCTTTAGTGGAGGAAAGCAAGGTTTATTACACCTTCATGATGGGGCATTCCAATAGATAATGCCAAGGTTACAGTGCAATCCTACATATATTTATCTAGAAGGGAGTCCCAGAGACAGTCCCTGTCTACATTGACAGATAGCAGTTTTCCTTGGGTCAGACATAAATGTTTTCTAGCACTACGTGGATGTACTGCAGACCAACCTTCCTCTGAAAAATAATCTTTCCACAAATAGTGGACCATGATTCAAACTCTATCTTAGCGGTAGATTTACTTATTTGGAAGCCTGAGGTATGTGGTTTTGCTAAGGTCAACCTCATTTCACTATCTATAAAACTGCATTAACAGTGACCAGGCATCCAGAACTGTTGTCAGAAAAAGCCAGGATTGGTGGTGGTCAGAATACATGAATTACTAAGAGCAATTATTATTGAAATATCACATATTTTATTTTCTACTTCAGCTGAAAACAGAAGAATTTTAACTCCTAAAGAAAGTTGGTTAGGATAGCCATTCCATGCTCAAAAAGCAAATATGGGGGGGAAGGAAGTGGAAATAAATTGCCCGAATAGTTTTAATATGGGACAGCTATTTATGAAGACACTGAGATGTATATATTTTTAGCCATTGTACTGCATGAAAGTGAAGCAGAACAGCAGATAGCAATCATGAGTATGTGTAAAGCATTGTCTACAATGTAAAGCAGTAAGTGTACAACTTGTATAACAATGTAAATGTGCTGTCCCCTCAACCTAAGCCGCTGGCAACAAATGTGAGTACACCCCTAAGTGACAATGTCCAAATTGGGCCCAAGTAGCCGGTTTTCCCTCCCTAGAGTCATGAGACCCGTTAGTGTAACAAGTCTCAGGTGTGAAGGGGAAGCACGTGTTATGGCTCTCACTCTCTCAGACTGGTCACTGGAAGTTCCACATGGCACCTCAGGGTAATGAACTACTGTATCTGAGGATCTGAAAAAATGAATTGTTGCTCTACATGAAGATGGCTTAGGCTATAAGAAGATTGCCAAAACCCTGACACTGAGCTGTAGCACAGTGGCCAAGACTTTACAGTGGTTTAACGGACAGGTTCCACTCAGAACAGGCCTCGCCGTGGTCAACCAAAGAAGTTGAGTGCCCGTGCTCAGCATCATATCCAGAGGCTGGCTTTGGGAAATAGACATATGAGTGCTGCCAGCATTGCTGCAGAGGTTGAAGGGCTGGGGGGGGGGTCAGCTTGTCAGTGTTCAGACCATATGCCGCACACTGCATCAAATTGGTCCCCAGGCCTGTCGTCTCAGAAGGAAGCCTCTTCTAAAGATGATGCACAAGAAAGCCTGAATACAGTTTGCTGCAGACAAGCAGACTAAGGACATGGATTTGTGGTATCATGTCCTGTGGTCCGATGAGATCAAGATAAGCTTATTTGGTTCAGATGGTGTCAAGCGTGTGTGACAGCAACTAGTGAAGAGTACAAAGACAAGTGTGTTGTGCGTACAGTCAAGCACGGTGGTGGGAGAGTCATGGTCTGGGGCTGCATGTGTGCTGCCAGCATTGGGGCATTTCAGTTCATTGAGGGAACCATGAATGCCAACATGTACTGTGACATAATTAAGCAGAGCATGATCCCCTCCCTTTGGAGACTGGGCTGCAGGGCATTATTTCAACATGATAATGACCCCCAAAACAACGCCAAAATGACCACTGCCTTGCTAAAGCAGCTGAGGGTAAAGGTGATGGACTGGCCAAGCTTGTCTCCAGACCTAAATCCTACTGAGCATCCTTAAATGGAAAGTAGAGTTGCGCAAGGTCTCTAACATCTACTAGCTCTGTGATGTCATCATGGAAGAGGACTCTACAGGCAACCTGGGAAGCTCTGGTTAACTCTATACTGAAGAGGGTTAAGGCAGTGCTGGAAAATAATGGTGGCCACACAAAATATTGACACTTTGGGCCCAATTTGGACATTGTCACTTAGGGGTGTACTCACTTTTGTTGCCAGCAGTTTAGATATTAATGGCTGTGTGTTACGTTATTTTGAGGGGACAGCACATTTACAGTTATACAAGCTGCATACTCACTGCTTTACATTGTAGCCAAGTGTCATTTCTTCAGTGTTGTCACATGAAAAGATACACTAAAATATTTATGAAATGTGAGGGGGTGTACTCACTTCTGAGATATATTGTATGTACTGGTATGGGAGCGGTTCATTGCATGTGCTCGCTTGCTTCAAATGCATGCATCTGAGAAAACTGTGTGAGATCACACACACACACACACAAACACACACACACACCACATGAAAAAAGTGCATACACAGTCCTTTGTGGGACAGATTTCCAAATACATATGATTCAGACTACGGTATGTAAAAGTTTGAATGAATTAACTGCTTTAACTCCAAATATTATTATTCAGATGTCAATGAGGGAGCTAAATATTCATCAAATATTTTCACAAGATCAGGTTGAAAGTGTTGGTCAATAGTTGCCTGACACAAGACTAAAAAAAATAGTAATGTTGACCATTCCTTTGTGCATCAAAAGGTGCAATTCAAACAGATGAGGTTCTATTTAATAACTTTCTCTGGAAAAGATATTATACAAATGGTAATCTTTTTAATAATGAAACATAGGGGTTGGGGCTAATGTTCCAACACTAAGAAAAGTTATTTTTGTATTTCTTGTTCCTAAAAATACCAATTCAAATACTCCAGCAGCTTCACTTGATCTATTGTAATTTTATATGCAATGCTTAGTCACTTTAGCACTGTTAATTGCATTCACTCACTCTACTCAAAATGGTTTCCTTATGTGCAGTGTGTCTGCTGTATGTATAACAGCATCAATTCTTCTCTCATTCTTTTATTTTTAGTTCTGAAATTCACAAGCTAAACGGTGTTTCACTGACAGCTGATTTTCTATAAAGAAAAATGTTCTGTTAATGTTCTCTGGATCTGCTACAGGAGAGATAGAGAAAAAGGTTGTCTCTACCCCCCCCAACATACACATATCCTTTTGCCCTTTAATATTTCAAACTACAGTACAGTACAGTTAATTATTTCTTAGATGCTTCATACATTACTTCATATTACAGAATTTGGTGCAATATACTGTATACAGTGATGTTCATACAACTAACCATTCAGTCCTTCTACACAGTGATGCTGCTTTTATCAGATGGTGGATGTTCCAGAAAGTGATACAGGCAAACCATTGGTCCTGAAGGGAACACCAACCAATGCATAATACAAATAAAACATCAAAGGGATGTTCAGAGTGAATCCAATAAACTTTCTACTGCCTTCATATAAGCGGAACTAGGGGAAGCCATAAGAAGATGTAGGAACTGCAAAGCAGCGGGATTCAATGTTATCTGAATCCAGCAAATTAATTATTTTGGGCAAAACACAAAGGAATGGATCCTTCAACCCTTTAATAACCGCTGGATTAGTGAACAAATTTCAGAAGTATGGCAAAAGACAAATGTAATTAATAAAACCAGGGAAAGAACTATCAGACCTCAAAAGCTACAGGCCAGTCTCCCTACTATGCCCTGTATTCAAAATGTTTGAATGAATATTAAACCATGTAACCCCTAAAACTGAACCATTTTTAATTCTAGAAAAGGCAAGCTTTAGACCTGGCAATAGCTGTATGGATCAAATCTTAAATCTAATCCAACATATAGTAGATGGTTTTTGAAACACATAAAATAACTGGAGCAGCATATGTCAACCTTACAGCATTAGTCAATTGCTGCTCAAAAGGGTCTACCTTCTTACTAAAGATCATGAATTAACAGAAATAGTAGATGTTCTACTTCAAAACCAAAGGTTATCTGTTGAATTTAAAGGGAGGCACAGTGGCTGGAGAAATCATAGGAACAGACCCCACAGGGTACCATTACAGTACTTTTTAACTTTCACTTAATGATCAACCAACATTCCCATACCCCAGAAGTTTCATCTCTGCTGATGATCTTGCCTTGAGAGTCACTCCAAGAGGAAACCTTTGAAGACACTGAGAACCAATTAAACTCTGCATTGTAAGATCTTTCCTTATATTATAAAAACAACCAGCTGAAACCAAACCTTTTAAAAACACAGGTTTTTGCCTTTCACTTATAAAACAGAGAAGCAGAGAGAAAGTTCCGAGTTAGCTAGGAAGGCAAGATTTGGAACAGTGCCCTACCCCAAGGTATTTGGGTATCACTCTGGATTGAACCCTGACCTACAGAAAACATTGTCTAAACACCAAACAAAAATTTGCCACTATAAAAACATACTTGAGAAATTGGCTGGGTGAGGCTAGGGCACACACCCAGAAACAATAAATATGGTATAAATCAGCACATGCCAAAGGAGTGGATGCAGCCCTTAATGAATCATGCAGGATTATTATTGGTGCCTGAAACCTACCTCAATTGAAAAGGTCTATTATTTGGCTGGAATTACAGTACCTCTCCAAAAGTACATTGAGAGGGAGTAGCAAGTAATGAAGAAAATAAGTAATACAGCACCAAACCCACCCACTGCAAGGCCACCAACCCCCTAGATGACAACTAAAATTGAGGAAGAATTTTCTGCACACATCTCAAGCTCTAAATATTAAACTAGAACAGACTAGGCTAAACCTATGGAGAACAAAAACAATACACTTTTCCAAATCAATGAATGCTGAAGAGTGTCTCCCACCAGGCCAAGACTTGAGCTGGACTATCTGGAAGTCACTTAATAGACTTTACAGGGAAGTAGGAAGATCAAAGAATAATCAAGTAAAATAGAAGTACTTGGATATAAGACAAATTTTCTGTGACTGTGTAGAAATTAAATCAATGCAGCACTCATGTGAATGCAATTAGC